GGGGCGCACCCGGGCGCCGCGCCCCTTACCTGCGGGGCGGAGGAGTAGGGGTATCCGAACTGCGGGTAGGACATGGCGGGCGCGGCCCGGGGCGCGGGCTGGCTCCGGGGTGCGGGCTCCTAGGCGCTGGGAGGGCGAAGCGCGAGAGCGGTTGCGGCGCCCCGCGGCCAACTTTGCCAGCCCGGCCGGAAAGTGCGCGGCGGCCGCGGCTTCCGCTCCCGGAGCCTCGAGGGGGCTCTGGGACCGACCGGCCTCGCAGCGGCGACAGAAATACATATTTTGCAAAATGTGGGGAGCAACAGCCGCGCGAACCGTCAAGCCAGACTCGCGCCGCTTTCTCGGCGGGGCTCTGACGTCAGCCCACGCCGGCCGCGGACGCGCGGGCCACTCGGCCCGGGCCGGCGGCGGGGCGCGGACAAATGGCTCCGGCTCGGGAGTCGATGCCGCCCCGGCGAAGCCTGTTCCTCCTTAGTCACCGCGCGGAAGGCACTTTTAATTAGAAATTAATTAATGAGCAGCTGCTCCTTCCCGCCCCCCTGTAATCATTAGTCTCAATTACAAATGAGACCTGGAGGAGACACGCGGGTGAGTCTCGGGTGAAGATGTAATCAACGCTCACGATGTGCCGCGCCCGGGCGGAGGGGCCGCGCCCCACGCACCATTGTCCACCGCGCGCGCTGGGGCCACCCGCGGACCCCGCGCCGTCCCAGAGCGCAGCGCGCCGCGGCGCGTGGGCCGGAGCTGCGAAGCCTCTCCAGACCCGCGCCCGCGTGCTGCCACCCGGGGCCTCCCGGCGACCCCGGCGGAGGTCCCTCCCCCTCCGGGTCACCGAAGTTCCCGCTCGGCCGCCGCCTTCCCTCCCCTTGCTCTCCTCGCGCCCGGGGCCGGACTCCTTGGCCGCTCCCGGCCCCTCCTCGAGCCAGGCCTGCGGCCGCCCCTGCGCGCGCTCGCGCTGAGAGCGGGCTCCCAAGCCAGCAGGGCCCCTGGCAGGCTCGCTGCGCCCGGGTCGGCCCGGCCAGCGCTGGGGAGAGAGGTGTCGGGCGCCTGCCCCAGCAGCCCCGTCTCGCGCCGCTTCCTGCCCGGGCCGGGTGCCCTCCCCGGGACCCCCAGCCAGCCTGCCGGGACCTTGCCCGAGTTGTGAGCGGAGCCTGGCGCGCTGGAGGCGAGGGGCGCCAGGCTCCCCGGAACTCCCCGGCCTGGGGCTCCGCGGTTCTCGGGGCCTGGCTGCTGCTCGGCCGGGCTGGAGCGGAACCCAGCGCAGCGGCTCTGTGCAGACTTGCTCAGGAAGAGTTCTGGGTTCAGACCTGTGAATAGCCCCAGGGTCACCCTCTAATTAATGATGACGTTTTCACCCTCTCCCCAGCTGCAAGGCTGCCTCCCAGAAACGAAATCTGCCGCCTCTGACAGCTCTGTTGAAGGTGATTGATGACTATCTGGAGACCGCAGTACACATCATATAATATCTGCTGCGTAATTGCTTTAATTTACAGATGAAAATACGAGTTCTCCGATCGCGTTGGACCGCAGCCGGCCACGTCCGAGAGGCTGGCAAAGGGAAACCATCAGAAATAATGAATAGCCGCCCATGCAAATTATTCAGACAGTTTAGCGTGGTAGCCGGGAGAGATATATAAAGAACACGAGTCAAATGACATTAATAATTGTTTTTGAATTCTGTATTGATTTCGTGGCAGGCCCTGTTTCTTTCTTCCTCACCTGAATTGCTAATACCACCTTCCTGTAAATAATCAGGAAGTAGCCACGGGGCTTCTCGGGTGGAAATGAATCTCCCTCTCCCTCCCCTGCCTCCCTTCCCCTCCTCCCAGCCCCTCCTCCACAGCCCAGCATCACGCTACTTTCCATCACTTATTGTTTACAAACAACTCTCTCCTGATAACGAGATGCGGTGAGGCCAGGCCCCAGGAGAGGAGGGCCGGTGCTTGGCTGTCGCTGGCCCTTCTGCTGTCCCCTTTCCCGGCCCAGGCCTGGGCCACTGTGCAGGCTGGGTTGGGTCTCAGTGGCTTGTGCCCTGGAGCTCCACCCGGGCTGTGCCCTTTCCTTCCCTGGAGACCAGGTCCGGCTCTTGAGAAGCTGCCCCCTGAACAGGTTTCACTCCTCCTCTGAGCATTATGCCCAGCCTGGAGCTGGGCAGGAGCATGGAGTGACGGGGCGGGGGCCCTTGCTCCTCCAGCGGTTTTCAGCCTGCAGAGCACTCCAGTCCCCAGCAGCCCTAGTTGTCAAGAACGACCCTTTCCCACACCCAGAAATCTGGCTCTCTGGTCCCTACTCTGGCCGCTGCAGGCCCACCTCCACCTCCTGGGGGGCCCAGGCCTGAGTGGCCTTGAGGCCGCCTCACCCAGCCACGCAGGGACCTCGCCACCTTGCCAGGCCCATTCAGGCCCCCCAACCCTGGACGCAGTCAGTCTGCTGGCCTTTGGCCCACACACCGGACGACCTGCCAGTGACCTGCAGTCTGGCTTGGGCCCTGCCCAGGAGACGGACACTCTATGCCACCTGTGTCCCAGGAGTGCAGGGGCAACTGTCCAGTGACCTTCGTAAAAGCCCAAGCCTTGGCACCGGCTCAGCAAGAACCAGACCTGGACTCTCAGACCCCCAGGAGTCGGCTAGGTGAGCCCTCTGGAGCAGTGCACCGCGCCCCTAGCCTGCAGGCCTGGTATAGATCCTCTCAACAGATCCGAGGACAGGCAGCCCGGCTTTGGTGAAAGCTCTGAGACAGGAGAGATCGGAGCAGGCCGCAGGGGCTCAGGGCCTCAGTTCCAACGCCAGAGGCCCACGGGCCACCTGTTTTCCTGTGACTGGTGTCGCCCTCTGAGGGGGAGGCCTCAGGGGAGACAGGCCCGGTCCCACATTCCTGCGACCAGCCCAGCTCTGGGGCTCAGACCGAACCCGGGCCATCCTGCCGGGGGCGCTTTCCAGCCAAGGAAAGTTGGCCTCCCCTAAGATACAGGCGGGAGTGCGGGTGCCCCGCAGGGGTCTCTCTCCTGAGGCCCTGGGCCAAGCCGGGCACCTACCCTGATCACGGTCGCAGACGCCTGGGCCTGGAGCCGCTCGCTCCAGGCGTCGAGTGCAGCGTGGGCGAAGTATGGATGGTTGGGATCCCGCAGGGCGCGCGCCGAGTCCCGGTCTCCAAACACCCTCTTGGGCCCGTCCCTCCACTCACCCGCTGCGCCCCCTCCCTTTGCTCGCGGAGCGCCGTCCGGAGCGGGAGCGCAGTCGCGATACCCGGAGCGCAGGCCCAGTCCCCCGCGCCGCCCGCGCCCCGCGCCGGAGCCTCGCGATCCGCCCCATGCCGCTTCCCGAAACTTGCAGTCTGCGCGGCGCCCTCGGGAGACCCCAGGGGCGAGCGGAAAACTTTGTCCCCTCAGCGCCAGAGAGACCCTCGCAAAGTTTGCCTGGCCGAGCCCGAGCCTACCTGCGCCGGGAGCGCCCGCCCGCGCCGCTGGCGCCCGGGCCGCGGAGCAGCGC